ATAGACGAGGGCAATGTCCATTGTTAGAGTCGTGATTAACCATAAAAGGTGGTTTAAGTCTCTGAGTACCATACACGCAATTTCTCAATCTCGATCCCGGAGCCTTTCTGCGCATGAGTCAAAAGAGTACGTAAGTAAGCACTTTAAGTAAGCACTGGGGTCGAGAATCGCCATTTTCTCCGATTCAGTAAGTTCCAAACTGCGACTGCGCAGTCATCAGTTTGCGAGAAGTAAGCAAAGAAACCCCTGAAGTTACTAAGGTTAAGAAACAGAAGATAAAACAAGAGAAGCGTCAGAAAAAGAAGAAGAAGAAGAAGAACAAGAAGAAGAAGAAGAACAAAACAACAACAATGCAACAAAAACTAGAAATACGTGTATCATAACAATAATCATAATTTGTAATAATAATAATAATAATAATAATAATAATAATAATAATAATAATAGTAACAAAAACAACAACAACAAACTACTGCTGCTACTACTACTAATACTGCTGCTGCTGCCACCACCTGTTACAATGTTAGTGTGCGCGTTCGTAAAACCTGAAGCGACGTTGCTGCCGGGTAGGCGGTTAACAAAGTATAAAAGTAAACTTGGGTGCTTAGTCTCGCAGTGATTGAAATTAAACGTTTATTGAAAGTCACTCACGATTATTCAATATTTCTAATTGGGTATTAATAACAGAAGTTCTTTAAAGACTTTATCGCTCCGAAAGCATAAGTAACTTACCGATAACTGAGAGTAGGTCCTTTCCTGTAGAAAAAAAAGTAAAAGATTAAACTGATTCGGAGGGTGCCGCATGCAAGAAGGTAGAGTAGCCGAGAGGTGACAGCTCCTGTACATAGAATGGAGCCTCGAGTTCAAGTTTTACCATGACCGCTGACTGGAATTGTTCACGGTAGTCTTGACAACTCGGTCACACTTGTTAAATAGCCAACTGGTTTGACCCAGGCCATGCAGTTGTGATTCTTATATTTTTCAAGTTTCTTTCAACTATTTGTTTCTGTCCTTATCTGTGGCCGCCATAATGTAGACTGCTGGGTTACTAGTGATTGTGTTAGCTCTGTAGAATCAATTTTATTTCATAAGTTATTCAGGTTTCTAACACGTTCTAAAGCACGTAGAAACTGAAAACCACTTGAGACACTTCTGACGGGTTCCGAGCAGAAAAGAAACCTATCTCATTTTAGAAGAATTTGCAACTCGGACTCAATGTTCTATTAATTTATTAAATTAAAAAAAAAAAAAGAATAGTCGGGTCACACTTTCATCCTACCCACAGACGCAAAAATAATTATAATTAGTTTAATAAAAACAACATGGCCTTCATTAGGCCAACTGATTTAAAGCCGACTTGTTTGATCTTGGGGATCAAATAATTGTTTTCCGTAATTAAATCACAATTATTTTAAAATGTTCATGTTTATTAAGTAAGAATTTCAGTCGTCCAGTTTATGTTGTCATTCAGGATTTTAATAATCGAATAAAGCATTGGCGTTTAGTAGAACCACCCGGTATGGGCAATTATAGGGAAAAGTCGACAGAAAAAGACTGAGTTGGGGCCGCAAGTATATATGATCTCGACAAAAAAAGCTGAAATCAAGATATCTAGGAACGTGCTAAATTACTTTACTGTACAACAGATTGTACAACGCGTTTCCACTTGAGAGAGCGGAGAGCTCTGACCCGATACAATCAGCACGTGTAAAGTCAAACGCCTGCATTGAAGTTGAATATTTACTTGTCCAAGACTGAAGAAACCACTCACCTCAATGCTATCGAGTCTTTGATTGGTTTTCTTTACGAGAGCTGTGACAAGTAATGGCGCCTCTACTGCGCTTTGACTTTCTCGTCGAAATTTCTGGAGCTCTTGAACTCGCCTCTGTATTTCAGCTGAAGTTTTCCGAGACTCCGCGCTTGGTTGGATAGTAGCAATTTTATCTTTGCGATCTTTGCGGGGTAAAATTGGCTTCGGTAGTTTGGGAATTGCCCGATCTTCGTTGTCAAAGTTTATATCAATGTTAATGATGGACTTGTCGTAAGCCATTCCAGCCTTTGACTTGAAGATCAAGTTGGTGATCCTGTGTAAAAAGTCGTAAGATGTAGAGTCCATTATTTGCGCGAAAGGAGGAATAGAAGCTTTTCTGATTAAGTCTTCCATTAAGGATCGTGAGTAGATAGTCCTGAACTTTGGATGAAAAGCAACGTCACGACCTTAGATCTCTTGTCGCTTTTTCTGTCAGTCAGGATTTATATTTCGAAGATTGATATGTCCTTATAAAATACCCCTCTTACTCTTGGTCAAACAAATATAAGTATCAAACTACAAGTTTGGGAACAAATGATTTTACAATTACTGAGTAATTTTAATCTTTCACTTCAACTACGTTCCATCTCTCTTTGAAATAAGGAAAAAAATAAAAATATATTGTTACTGTCTTGTGTGACTGAACTCACCTTTTAAGCCCAAAATCCTGACCGCTTCCATAGCAACCTACAGATACGTTTTCACTTCCACAACAACTCTCTGTATTGCCAAAAAATCTTTATAACTTTTGCTTCTGATTGCTACCGTATGATGCCGATATTCCGTTCTCTATTTTCCGCCTTCCCCACCACTTAGCCGTTCATCTTAGCAACATACGAAAACAGTCAACTTACGTAACAGGAATTCGAGAGCTATAATGGAAATAACTTTCGTGGTATTTGCTTGAGTGAATACGTTTGATAGGAGGTCAAGGGATCACTTCGCGAGTGAGTAAACACAAAGTGTGTTGACTGTTCAATTTACGTTGTACAAGAATAATAATTATCAGAAAAACACTTTACCAGACACAAAAGATAACACAGAACAAAAACTTTTGAATCATAATGATATCGTCTGCTGTTTTGCCCTCTGGGGAAACGGCGTGTTTTTCAAAAACAAAGCAATTACGCTGGTGTAAAACACTTCTTGTTTGTTTGTGATTTCGCGGCTTGCTGATAAAAGAATCCCGCGGAATTATGTACCAGAAATCAATTATTACTTTTCCATGGGGAGAAAAATGGATTAATTAAAGTAAAATAATTCAATGATGAATCCTTAGATGATTTTACTCGAAAGGATACTGCACTTTAGCCTTAAAAGTTGAGACTTTGAGTACTGCATGTTTTGTACAATATACTTTTATGTGAAGCTAGATTTGTTTATTTGTGTTGATCGTAACGTCGAAAGATAGCGCGTTGTTTGCTTAACATGTTTACTCACGAGTTTATAAGTTCGCCCACGCGTGACGTACTCGCTTCGCGGCTCTCGCGCCTATAGTCTAGGGCCCTTACATGGGGTGGAAAAGGCGAGCACCTTTATAAATTCTATGCAAGTTTTAGAAGAGTAAATCTTCAGGTTCAAAGGTGATTTGAAAACAAAACAAAATACATTATTTTCAATTTGCGACATGAGCTCGGTGGAAGACAAAGGACTGAAGGGTAAAAACTCGAGGTTCTTTTTCTTTATTTTCTATGATTTAATCCCAAAAACCTTGAGCTGCTTAAAACACCCCGAGCTCTTTAGCTTACTTCGATAACTCATTATTGTGTCTTTCTTAATTTGACGGCTATTTATAAATGGCTTTTGTAGATGTATTTTAGCTCGAATAAGCAAGAGATGGTGGACCAAAAATGCCCGGGGGGAACTCCCATATGAAAGGGGTGGGGATGCTCGTCGCAACTTTTGAATCAAACCACTAATGGAGACCAATCTGGGCGTGGCCCCAAATTTTTTTGACCCCTAAAAGCGATCATTTTAAACTTTGATTACATGAATAGAACAAATAAAACGAATTGAAAATATATAGTTTCTTAATATTTCTTCGAGTGCAATCCTATAAGAGACCTTAACGGCTAAATATAATTGTGTTTTGCATAGAACACCCTAAGCGAGACCAAAATCTGAAATTTACACCCCTAAGCGAGACGACGAGCATCCCCGCCCCTTTCATATAAGAGTTCCCCCCGGGCAAAAATGACAGCGCTACTGGTTGCAATGGGAAGCAGCAAATAGGGCAGCATACTCCGTGGTACCTGGACATGTCTTTCCAAGAGCGATTTGCGCGTGTTCCTGAACGCTTTGCTTCCCGGCTTTCCGCTGATTGTCCATCAAGAACCATAATGGGTCCCATTATTACTATACAATACAAAACCTTTATTTTAACATAAAAAGGAAAAAAGCTGAGTTACCCCGAGGGGTCGTCGAAGAAATGTGGCTTAAGTTTGACAAGATGCAGTAATATTGTAACCTAAAACTATTTCTTTAGAGCATGATTTGAATGGTGATTTCCCTTCTAAAAAAATGTTCACTGACACCTTTTCTGTTTCTGAACCTTCTGGTAAACTTTGTAAACTTCGCTCAATAATACTGTAACTCCAATCACTCTACGTCCTAGCTAAAATATACCTGCGTCAGTGTACCAAGACTTTCCAACGAAGCCAAATGCATTATCTCTGCCAACAGAAGAACCAATTCATTAACTACGCATGCGCAAATAATCACTGCCCCTCCTGAACCATAACGATGAGAATCAACAAATAGCACGGGGCCGTCTTTCTCGAATAGAAATACCCCTGTTCTATAATCTTTGATGAATATTACAGCTTGTCGTCGTTCGTCAAGTCTCCGTAATCTTTCAAGCTGAAAAAGAACCGTAGCCGTCTCCGTTTCCGAGATGAAACTTACTGGCAGCGAGCTGCCGAGGTTTTTAATCTGCAACGCACTTCCAAACTCTTCTGATACATCCTCCACTGAGAGATAAATCACGCCTTGCTGTTTAGAGTTTACAAGCTTGTCGTATAATCGGTTCCCTTCGGCAATACAGCTGCTAAGTAAATTAATCCAATCCTCGCTCAGGTTTCCTGTCTGTAGAGATTCTCTGTCACGTGACTCCTCTCCACTCGGTCGCTTCCAAGACTCAGTTGCTCGCGCATTGCACTCATCCCCAGTCCGTTGCTCGAGTTTTCGTGATAAGCCGATGGCGGGCACTGTAATATCACTACAACAAAACGCCCGCGCAATCAATACAGCGATTATAGTGCAGGCGTTGCTTCCATTTCTCCCGCCGTAGCAAGACTGAGAAATCTCTCTTGGAAAATGGTAAAGAATCATAGAAGTCTCTCTTATTGTCTTGCATTGAACTGCCAATTCGTCCGCGTGCGGAATATGTGAAGCGTGAAAATCTTCTTTCTCGCCTTGAAAGTCAGATTTCAGCATCTTACAAGCCACCGAAAAATCAACTTCACTGATATAAAAATCCTTCTCCTTGGAGACGTCTTTATGGCTTCTGTCGTGGTACTTCTCGTCGGCAGGAGGACAATTCTGATTTCTAAAATTTTTTTCCTGCGCCACACTAGAATACTGCGTTTGACTATGCATGGTGATTGAGTCCTTTGCCATTATGGCGTAGAGCATCAAGCAAATGTACAGCAAAATAGGAAGGAAACACATTACCATGGTTACTATTTGAGCTGGTTTCCAATGAAACTTGAGCCCAGTGAGTACGCGCACGGGATGGTCACTCCTTGAAAACTGGTTAATGACCGGTCCGTACCAGTTTGTCATAGTTGTTAGCATATACAAAGACGCAGTAAACATTAGAAAGTGAAATGCAGGATAGCTGTATTCTGACTCAGCATCGTTCTTCGTTTGACAATTTGTTCCTTGATGCGTTTCGTTTGTAAAACTTACGCCCCTAAGAAGTCCAAACGTAAAAGAACTTTCTTTATTTCGTAAGCACTCATAGAACAGTACCGTGTGCGTAGTTAAGGTGGCTACAATAATTCTCCAGTTTACGCCAATTGGAAGATTCTTTGCGGAGAGCAGGGATGCTTCAAAGTTACATCCGGGATTGTCTTGCGCCGAAAGCGCCATAACCATGACTAAAACCGAGAGAAAAGTTACCACTGCGCATGGCAAAAAAATAACCGCTGGATGAAGGTTTGGTCTAATTCGTGGATGCAAAGAGATGGCAAAACCGACGAAACATGCTCCCAAGGTCAGCGCCATAAAAACGTCGTTCCACGTACAGTCTTGTCTTGCTGTAGTGACAACTATGTAGCCGATAAGACTAAAACTAACTACAAATAACTCGAAAGACTTCAGTATAATCATAACTTTGATAACGCTGGGAGATATTTTACATGTGTGCTTGTTTTGTTCCTTCATTGTTGTTGCTAGTGTCACGGAAGCCTCTGCGAGGTCAACGGCCAAACAAAACTGGAAGACGAGAAATAGAGAGGCGCCAAACAGTGCAATGTAGGAAGTATAAACGATAAAATTATTTTGTTGGGGTATGAAGAAACTCGCTGTAGCAAAACCAGCGAAGACCATGAGCTTGAATATCCAACAACGGTTGTGCAGGAGGTCGCGAAATTCTTGGACGTTTGGAAGCAAAGAGCATGTTAAGAAGAAATGATACAACGCACTAGCCAGAAATACGCGATGAACTATTTCGAAGCTTACAACTTCGTGGCATGCTCTTTTGTTAAAAACAATGTGGCACTTAAACATTCCCTTGATAAACGTGGTGTCCATTAGTTTGTCCTTAATACCGGGTCCTAAGAGAAGTAATATTCCAATCGTCCATAAAAGAAAACAGCACTCGTAAATAATTCGAGATCCCTTGGACATCCTATAAGGCACTCACGGGGTTTTGCGAGCGAGCGCGCCGCGTAACGTTCAACGTTTGAATCGTGTCCGTGAATCTCTGCGTGATCTCACGACATTTCAGATATGGCGTAACCATATGTGATAGCTTCACGGAGGACAAAGTCTTCACAGAATTAATCTGCCACAATGTATTCATTCAAGTGTCACAAAACCTGCTAGACGATCGTCGTTGAATCAAAAATGGTTTTAGCTTTCTGATAGACACATCGTGATTTTGGTCGAATGCTAGTTGTCTTCTTGGACGGCACGCAATCGAATCGTTATTTTAGCCTCACAAACAATTTTTCTATATAAGGGATATACAATGGAAACGACATTTTCTATTTTTCTTTTAAGTATGTTATTCCTACATGAAATATTAGGTGTATTAGACGCAAATCTTCTCAGTAGCAGGTGTTAGGATAGAAACGACCCGTTAGACAGGTCTTTTACGATAGTAAACTTAAGACTACAATTGACCTGTCATTTATAACATTAGCTCTTTATTCTCCAGACTCACTTTTAAGTCAATTTTTAGTCTTTTGTAACGTGACTTAAGTCACACGCAAATTCAGCAATCAAGACACGGGCGACGGAAAACAATGCGAAATTTAACAGTTTTGTAATGACGTGAACAAAAATGAACGACAAACACTTTTTTTTCGAAGAGGAATGGTACTAGAGCGGCGGGGCAGGAATTCGAATAGGTGATCCTTTCCTCTCACTACACTTTTCGCTGGTTACTTTCCTTCACGCAAAAGACATTTCACGATTCTCCCCCCTTGCATACTCTGTAAGCATGTTTTCGTAGCCTAGTATAGGCCTCAAATTTGAACTAAGACATCTAATTTTGCGCAGAGGGGTAAAGCTACACATTGGTGATTACGGTACCACTTTTTACATGTATTTCTAATTCCAAGTAAGTTCTGCGCAGATCTCACGCATGTCTAGCGTTGCTTTGCCATATAAATACTCACTGGTAAAAAAGCGAGTTCATAGCATTATAAAATAACGTACAAAGCACTACGGGCTCAGTCTTTAAAGTCAAGCCACGTTGCGGCACAGTATCTCCATAGTTTTGTTTCCCTCAAGCCTGTTGTCTTTGTTTTTTCTGGTTGAATCGGTTGCAATAAGCCAGACTTAGAACAACAATAAGCACTACTGTCGTCATCGTAAACCGAGCTGACCGTCGGCTGCTGATCGATAACACTTCGGTCACTCGTGATGCATTATGGACAACTTCTTCCTATCTCAGAGCCTCATGATGTCTGGTTCTTTCGAAGAGTGCGCACTCCAAATGATTTTTACTATGTCGGCGAATCTCTTCATTTCCTTCACCGCTTGTCGGCTGGCAAGAAGTATTTTGGTGTTGACATGTGGTAATGATGCTGCCAGGCGGAGTAATGACCTTTGTAGAAAGACCCAAACCTCAGGAACAAGATAAAAAAGAAATCAGAAATCTATAGATAAAAGGAATCACTTGCATTGCAAAAACTGAACTTGTGATATGCTACCGATTAAAATAATTTTAAATTTCATCCCAGTTCGTTCAGTCAAGATCCATAGTACACGCGGTACGGAAGTTTGTGATTCAGGGATTCACTTTGATAAAGCTCTATTTTGTCTATGATCTGCAGAATAGTTGTCCCCCCCCCCCCCCCCCTGGGGGAGCCTCTTTTCATTGGAAACCCCCCCCCAACCAAAACTATAGAGGGCTTAAGCAAAAACATCTCCTTTCCCTAGCGACGCACGTCAACCCGGCGGAAGGGGGTTCTTTTTTGATGCTAAAACAGCGGGTGGGCCCGGGACGTAAAGGGGTTTAGGTTCACGGACAACCGCAGAATAGTTGGCCCCCCCCCCCTCCCACTGGGGAAGCCTCTTTTCATAGGAAACCCCTCACCAACGAAAACTTTAGAGGGCTTAAGCAAAAACGTCTCCTTGCCGTAGCGACGCACGTCAACCCGGCGGAAGAGGATTCTTTTTGGATCCTTGAACAGTGGTTGTGCCCAGATATTAGAGAGTTTAAGCTTCACGTACACGGCAAACGGCAAACGACAAACGTCAGATTCAAGTTTAGAATTTCTCAAAATAGAAAATGAGCAGATAAAAACAGCTCAAAAAAATTCTTATGGATAAAAAATTGCGTGAAAGTGCTAGTTTACGTGTAGAAGTAATGAACAGTAAACGACAAGTAAAGGGGAAACTTAGTCACGTGGTACAAATTCGCGCTTGCCTTTGGACGTCTCTACAAATCGTCTCTACAAGACTGGAGACACTAAGCACTTCAAATTTGGAAGCGTCATGGCATGATAGAGGGGAAAAGGGTTCACTTCCCGGGTTGATGTGCGTCGCTCAAAAACGCTTTTGCTTAAGCTCCCCTTTGTAGTTTTTATCACCTGTTGGAAAATTTAACGTCGTTCGGGACATCTTTAGAACTTGTAGTGAGAACGTCGTTATCCCGGTATGGTTTGCCTGGGGGAGGGATACGAAACTTGGCCATTTGAACCTCGGTGTCACTAAGTCCCCCATGGGAGATTCGTGCATATCCTAGACGTATGAGCCCGCGGTACATAATGTATTCACACCAGCGGTCAGAGTCCGTTTCGTCAATGTCCTAGAAGTGTGAACAAAACAAACCAAATCAACAAATGAATGAGAAAGTAAACGAATTGAGTTGTCAGCACATCGTCAAACTTGGTGAAATAGCTGAGCGAGGTTAGTCTCCTTCGCAGTCTCTCGGACAGGAGTCACACAAGAGACTACAAAGGGGTGGACTTAGTCCCAATTTACATAGAAACGTAGACATCCGACCCAGATGTCAACTAAAAAAAAGTCATAACATGCAATCTTTCAAGTTTTTTTCTGACTGAGAGAACACTGTGTATGCTGGCTAAGAATTCTCTCTTCACTATCCCCGGGGATTTCCTCTTTCGTCAGTTCGTAGTTAATATTGTTCTGCATTTTTGTATGTCGTTATTTTACATCAAAAAAGTCTCTCCGATCTTGGGACTGAAAAGGTACTTTAACCTCTGTGAACTGTATAGGACCCCAACAAATCATCATTAATCATTTGACGACGTAGTAGAACTGCCTTATAACACAATGCATAAAAGAAAGAGCAAAATGAGTTCATATTTACCTTGGTTCGACCTTTTTCTATCAGTGTGCGGTAATCTCGACTCTTCGGAGATGACGTCACATATCCCAGAAATACCACAGGGTTAGGACTACAATGACCAAAAGTGTCAACATTGTAAAGAGCGATTTAAGATTTAAGATTGCATTTGAACTTTTGCATCAATGAAATAAAGAAGAATGAAAAAAGTCACAAATGAACAAGCTCATACCTCTCATCCATAATCCTGGCTAGTTCTTGAGCCTGAAGCTTACGATCCAAGTTATCGCTGTTAAAAGGTTGACAAGGTTAAAGGTTTGTTTAGAGTGGAAAGTGCACTTAGCTTATCCAGCTAAATTACGGGCACTCAATTCAAGTAATTCTGAAACAAATGATTCAAATACAACATAACAGGATTAAAAACCCCACCTGGCAGGGCTCAGAGGCAACCAGTTGGCCATTTACATGCGTGGCCGAGGAATTGAACTCAGGATGACTGAGAACAAATCCAGCAAGTGGCCAGAGCGGGACATGAACCCTGGACCGCCGGATTGTGAGTTCCACGTGCTGAGCACTCAGGGGGAGAAAAATGTGGAAGGGAAAAAGGAATCTCCCTCCATTTTCTCTTCCTCCCCTCTTCCTTTCGAGTCCTGCCATGCAGGCTTGTGTGGTTATAACAACAATCCACGTTAGCTCAAAGACCAACCTCGTTCCCAGGTTCTCTCTTGCTCCGTAGGGATGGGTGGAAGTTAAGCCTGGGAAAGCGGTTGGCTCAAAGACTTAATTTGTTAACTAAATTGATATACATTTGCTCACCGATCATTCCCCATGTGAACAACAACGAAGTCGACCAGGTCACCAGTGATGTTGATTGTCGCACTTAAGGCTGGAGCTAGTTCTCCTATTAAATGAAGAGGAGAATATGCAAAAAACATGATTAACTTTTTGTAACAGTACACAATCCACATAGTAATCTCTAACAGGGATCATTTAGCCAGTTGCACAATGGGAGATACAGCCAAGGACAAAGCACAAGGTTATGAAGAAAGTTGCAACCTATCTCAGATGAAGAAGAAATATATGTCTTGTGCTATTTGGTTGGCTGTGAGCCAGTTTGTTGTTGATAGTTTAATAAAATGTCAGTAAATCAGAAATTATAATTATACTGCCTTGACTTGTCTCACCTTCAGGAGATGGAAGTAAATGATGATGGGACTTTACTATTGGGTATTTGGACAGCAAAGTGGCCCTAGGAAAAAAATATAGATATATAAATAACCACTCAGGCAGTGACTTTGATTTTTACTATATAATTAGCATTTGATGATCTTATTTGGAGCATTCAGCACTGGCTGACAAGATTGAGCATGAGTTGCGTAAAAATCCTGGGTTTCAAACACAAGTACAATAAGGACTGGATTACAAACGACTGTTTTCAAACAAAAAGACATGTTATGCAACCTGTGTCCTACAAAACAACCTGGCAGTAGATCATCTCTATAGAGTTCAGGAATATGACAAAGCTGTTTTAAAGCATATCAATTTTTATGAATTATTGAAGAGATAACAGTGAAAATTGGCCGGGTGACTTTGGATCAACCTCTAGAATTTGACACGAGACCAGAAGTCACTTTCTTTAGGTCTCTTTCAACACCCCCCCCCTCTTTGTATGAGCTAATGCTTTTTGTATGATCTCTGGTAGAGGGCCCAAAATCAGAGTACATTCCAAGCCTGGATACATTCCAAGTTTGAATATTCTCTCCTCAGCCTTTTGCTTTGAGAGGGAAAATTAGTTATCATTTTTAAGGTTACAGGTTTCAGTCAGGACCTTACCCCCATGTATGATCTCTGGTAGAGGGCCCAAAATCAGAGTACATTCCAAGTCTTTCCTCAAACCATGTTGCTAGATCATGATTCCCAAGATAAGGCTTAGAACAGTCACTTTCTAGAAAACCAACCACATCAGCACCTAAGAAAAATATACAAGGGCAGGTCAGTTGGTGCAACCAACCACATGAGGGTGGTTGTGTGTGTGTGGGGGGGATAGACAGCTGAAGTGTCTAGTAGGGGGAATGGGAGAGGAGTAATATGAAGCCATGAAGCCATGAAGCCTTGACATTTTTTTAAACTTTTCACTTAGAGAAAACATACCAGTGTCATTTATCATCTGTGCAGCTCTCTCAAAACTGGGCCAGCCAACATTATCATATGCAAAATGGACTGTCCAGATCATGGCAGAAAACTTTTTCTGTTCCTGTTAAGAAAACAAAGAAGCGCAGTATCATTATCAATATACTACTTTATTACCACAAACAGCTCTCTCTTGCACATGACTTTGTAAGACAAAAACCTCTGTACAATGAACATTTAAAGTTCTCCCTGGTCCCTTTTCTTTGACTCTCTCAAAACCTTATTGTTTGATGGTAATTACTAACCTCTTGACTGGGTGTGAGGTACTCATGTCTTTGATATCGCATTCCCATAAGAACAGATGATGCAATCAAGAGACAAAATAGGACTACACAGAAATACAACAAACAAAATCAAATTAATCATTAGTTCAGGGATACTTTCTTGACTTGATTACACAAAAAATGGCACTCAAATGAAATCAAATCTGGTTACACACTTAAAAAAATATTCTCAAGTGGCACTCAATAAGAATAATCACCAAAGCACAAATAATACCAGTTTTACCTGGAATTACATGAGTCTTGAAAAACCAAAATCGATCTCCATGCTCCTCAAGAAAAGCTATGTTATTAAACTTGACTGCAACGGCTTTTTTCTTTGGAGAAGGCTTTCCATCAGAACTTTTCTGATCACTGCTGACTTTCTCTTCTTTCTTCATTTTACCGTATACTTCCTTAACATCCAGTGTTGATGCAGTCATTAAGGCAAGCCCTTATTTTCAGAACAACAACAAAAATACCAAAATGTTAACATTACTGTTCAATGTACAATCATGAAGATAAATGACAAATAGTTTAGCAGCCAAAAAATGTCCCAAAATCTTGATAACAATTTGGATCCAGAAAGCAAGATTTTCATTGCTGCAGTGTTTTAATAATTTTGGCTTCCCTGCAAAATGATGTCTTAGGACATGTGAAGAAATTCAATACTGACATATCCCTACCCAGATCTGGGTAGTGCTTCTGATTGGCTGTTCAAGTAAATGTCCCATACAGAACAACCAATGAGAAACACCACCCAGATCTGGGTAGTCACTAGTAATTGGTATGCAATTTCTGTGCTTGTTTGTCAGATGTCATTTCCTGGGGGGGAAACCAGTGGTAGCGTTGTTAAATGTAGGCTGTTTTCTTAGGCTACAATGGCGCAGGGGACCAGCATTAGGTGCAATTTCACACCCTTATCTATTAACTAAAAACAAGAAAATTTCCCTGGCAAATTACCAATTACTAACACAAATCACTGTTGACCTACCAATTAATACCATAGTGATTCCCAACAATACATGTGTCCTTTCTCTTGTGTATGCTCCTCCCGGAACAAAATTGTAAGCCACTACCCACACTGATCCCAATGTAAGAACTATGTACACCACATTAGCCAAAGTTAGTGTCCGTGCAACAGGACGGCAAAACAGTCTGTCAATCATAGCTGGCCAAACTGACATGGTGTAGACACCAAGAATGAGTCCGCCGACGAATGACCAATAACGAGGAGCAAAGTATAACATGGCAGCACCAGCTGAGCCGATCAACCACCACAACAAATTACTAGTCCAGTGTTGACGAGATAGGAGAACTCCGACTCCTAGAGCAATGACTACAGCGGCTCTGACATTATTGTAAGAAAAGAAATTTGAAAAGGTAGTTTTTATGCATAGCATGCCCATGTTAGCATAACAAAAAACTACCATCATATTTGTGTAGGAATTGGTCATATTAATTTATCTTCTGAAATACCCTGTACATCAAATCATCACCTTTTGTTTGTAAACCGAGAACGGGAAAATAAATATCATGACTTTGTGTGTATTCCACATCTTACATTGCTCCAAGTTCACCTTTTTAAAGTCACTATAAATCTAGAAATCTAGAATTACAAAATGGTCGCCAGACATTATTAGGTCTTGTCCAAGATGTACCATAAGTGACCATAAAATAATGATAAATGATTGGGATCAACATAGACCATGATAGGTGCCAGTTTCCAAGTTTGTCCCTTCGTGAAGAGTTAATTTTCAACAAGACGTTCTAAATGCTATTTGCACATCTTAAAGTTCTGGCTTGGTAATACAATCCTTTGAGAAAATAACAGAAATAATAATAAACAGAAAACTACCCTTAGCTACGCATCCCCCCCACCCCAGTTACCAGTTTATAAGCAATCCATCTCCTCTGATTAAATGTTGGAAGTAAATTTTAACATAATATGGTACCTACCCCCATGGATTAGGCTTGGGACCTGTATCTGGATACCCTGATACAGCCCAGCGACAAACAAGTGACACTTCACCAAACACATCATGGGTAAGGAACATCAAAGCACCAAAACCTAATGCCACTAACAGCCACCCAGGACCTGACACCCTTGAGTCTTGGGGCTCAGTTGGTGACTTTGATGGAGGACCTGACTGAGAGATGGACATCATATAGCCAGTATACACTCTGTCCATAGTTGCAATAACAGCAATTAGAAGAATGACCCTGTTACTTGTGACGTCTGACCAGATTGGGTTGACAGTGACGTATGAAATGCGCAGTGTCAGCAACAGAAAGAAGCCCAAGACTAATCCCCAGAAGGACAAAACCCTGAAATTTAAATTGGACCATAGAAATAGTTATACATTGTTTTTGGAAAAATGGGTTATTGATTTAGCACAAATAATAAACAAGGTCAAGGTAAGTGTTATCAGCCAAGCTAAAGGTTGATGCTGATAACACTTACCGAGATATCACAAAAACCAAATCTAAATTTGTTTTATGATACATTGCATTTGTAATTTTGTCCAACCAGAACCTTCATTAAGCGTGCCACCTTTAATTACCTCTCCTTAGGATCTTTGTTCCAGATCATTCCACAAAACCAAAGCATTGCCGTTCCACAGCCAAATGCTAACATTATTAATCTGATGAGAGTTGTGGGAGCTTGGAAAGAAGCAACACCAACTAAAGACAGAACTCGCCAAAATGCTAAGCCATGTATGGTCCCTGAAAACTGCAGAAGAGCACTAAACCCAGTGAATATTGGTGATAGAACTGTAACCACAAATGCCTCATAACCAGAGATTTCCAACTCATTCAGTGGATAGAACCAAATCATTGGAGCAATTCCATGAATCAGAGACCACCATGTGTATCCTATTAACACATTAAATGAAAAAAATCAAATTATTGGATTTAAAAAATGGAATCTGATCTAAAGATAAAATCAAACCACAATTGACGAAGCCATGTTTTCAGCCATGTCTTCAGAACAGATCTAAAAACATACCTATTCACTTGCTAAGCTTGATGGTAACAATGGTCAAACACTAACATTCTATAGTTATTTATCGTTCATTATCCCGATTTCAAGGAAAATATTCCTAACCTAGAATCATTTCTGCCCCTAGCTCCCGAATGGTGTATGTGAATTCGATCACTTCTTCGGCGATTTCTGCAGTCTCCTCGTCAACAAATTCATCTTCCGAACCTTCAGGAATAACAGTCTCGTACTCTTCCACCTCTTCCCAAGGATCTGTAGCTCCCTCTACGAGGCTTTGAGCCCTGTGACGGAGCTCTTTTCGCCGTCTTCGAAGGCTTTTTTGCGGAGAACTTTTCACGGGTGCAGCCTCCTCCGCCATGTTGGAGGACAGATTGCGGCCTGGGCCAGAGGATGGGCCAGCGATATCTAAGATAGCGGAAACCTCAGAATACAGTTTCGACTTCATGTATGTTTGAAGAGCATCATGGGAAGTGAATGTGGCGCGTATGCAGTTGAAACCAGTCGAAGGAGCTTTGAGCTATTTATATTTCATTGCAATATTCCAAGAATACTATTCGTTCGTTTATAAAACGATCGTGGCTTAGTTACATGGACATTCAGAGAGGACATTGACTCAAGACAGTACCCATGCGGTTGGACTGCAAATCCGATATCTTGATATAAATTCTACTTTATCATCACGTTATTGTCAATTTTGTCAAGCTCAACTGCCCATCGGTCCGTCAACTGAAATCCTTCTAACTCAGATTGTTTGGATTGGATTTCAACATGTTTGGGTCCTCTGCAACACCGTTTGGAACTGGCGCTGGCTTTGGAACAGGAACTGGTAAGTTTTTTTCTATATATATCAAATCAAGGCATACAAAGTGCTATAGGCTGTCCATACCTTTTCTTCACAACTTTCAGATTTCCTTGTCGTCGTTTAAATCAGAAATGATTATTTGTTGTAGTTTCTGTATGATCGGTAGTCTGTCTTTGTTTGGTTGTTAAGAACAGAGTGACTTTTATCACACTAACTATAAAAGGCCGGTCCCTATCACTACTGGCCTTCAGTTGATTTCCATCATGCATGGATGTCAGGGCTGTGCTCTAGCAGAGCCCGGTGGCCCCTGGTGCCCAACTTTTGCCCTCGGGCGACAAGAAAATCTCATATTTTTCATACAAATCATATGCTGGGCACCCTAGATTTTACAGTCTCAGAGCACTGGGCTCCCTCCAATTTTCCTCAGAGCACAGCTTTGGATGTTGTCAAAATTGAAACTTTTTTGTTATGATTGTCAGGGTTTTAATGACTAACTCATATACAGCTTGAAGGTATGCCGTCAACTCGTCTCAAGGTCAGATCATTCCATTCCGGATCGTTCCACTTAGTAGTCAGATCATTCTACAATATAGTTAGAACTTTTCAGGAGTCTTTAAGCCGCAAGTAAAATGAAGGGGTAACTCATGTGTATGCCTCGTTCTTTAAGCCAAGAAGGCTAAAAAGCATGCTTCACATCAAGTTTTACTCTGAAACTGGGGAACAATCTGACTGTAAAATGGAATGGTCTTGCTTGAAATGATCTGACCATGGGACGAAGTGACATTAAAATTAAAAAATTACAAAAAAATAGTTAAATATTATTGCCTTTACACTCATGAAAGTTGAGATTTTTACATGGATTTTATTATTCACATTTGTAGCTTTTGGAGCTCAGAAAACAGGAACACAGTTTGGCGCCAGTTCAGGTTGGTTTTGGACAGTGAGGATTTATCATTTTTTTTTG